TCTTTCCCAGTCTTCCCAACTTGGACTTCCTTACTCAGCTCTTTCAGGATTTTCTTCTGTGGTCTTTTCCAAACTACTTGCTGACTTTTCCCTTCTATTACCTACTAGGAACCCTCCCATCTCATCAAATCAAACTCATCTTCCTCTCTCATGCTCTTTCTCTTCTGCCTACTCCCCAATACAAACCTACACATTTCTGCCTTTGCTCTGGTGATACCCCATTCAGGCTACCCTGTTCCCTTCTCGGGTTTTCCCAATCCTGATTGCTCCCTCTGTAAGCACAAGAATAATTTCAAGGCAAGTTACTTAACTTCTTAGACCCTGTTTTCCCATCTTTAAAATAAGCTATTAATCCCTCAGAATGGAATGAGTGCACAATTTTTTTTTAAAAAAAAGCTGAGCACTCTCTGTAAATGTGTATGTACACTTTAAGCATTTCTCTCCAGCTACCTCCCCCTCCACATATACACACATCCTGTTGGCAGAGTGCTGGGGGAGGTGGAAGTGTGATGTGAGCCTGCTGTCTAGTCACACACAGCAGCCCAAATATGAGATTGCACATGAGGAAGTGCCAAACTGAGCTCTGAGGAATTCAGAAAAAGAAGGATGATGTGTCTCCCTGGGTCCCTTAAGTTAAATAATGACAGAGCCTCTTGAATCTTCACCCGTTCTCAAGCCAGTGCTCATTCACCTGTTCCCCCACCCTCTGTCCCTCCAGAGCACAGACTCCTAGGCACATGCAAGAGTCAGTGACCTGTGTCCCTGGGGCCCTCCTCATTTTGGTCCTGCTCTTGGGCCCATATCAATACTGTCATGGATGAGAGAGAGAGGATCGGGCCAGGTCATGGCTAGAGCTCAGGTTTGAGTCAAACCCTAGAGAGGTCTTTAATAGGCGCTGGGAAGAAGGCATGGCCTCAGTTGAGGGCAAACTGAAGGGCCCAAGATGATGTGGGAGGACTATTCTAGTTGAATTAAAGGAGGTGGGGAGTTGGTTCTGAGGGGGCTTCCTAGATTGCTACTGAGTAAGGTGACTGAGCTTAGGAAGGACAGGACATTTCATTGCCTAGGAGGGGTTCACTGAGAGATCTGGAGTGAGAAAGATGCCCGAGGTGAGCTGAAAGGGAGGCAGGTGTGACCCAGTCCCTGAGGAGGTGCACCCCAGTTAAGATTTGGTTGAGCGGACAGGTACAAATAATGCCTGTGGCTTACTTATCCCCAAAACCAGCATTTTCTGTGTGCACTTCTGGCCCAGCTGTTGCTTCATCCCTCCAGACCTGACCTTCACCCACCCAGACGTTCGACTGACAGGCGACGGGGACCTGGAGCTAAGAATCAAGACCCTGTTCTGTGTTCAGAGCTGACCCAATGCTTGGTCTCCAAGTACTGTGACCCTCGGCAGGGAGCACAGGGGGTGGCAAGAAGTGAGGACAGGCCTCGGGCTCTCAGGCTTTGGGAGAGTTTTAAGCCCCCAGAGGACAGGTTGGTACGTCTCTAGCAGGAGGAAATCCTAGAAGGGAGAGGGGGACTATCAGCCGTTGACGGCCCTGGGGGCAGTGAGGCTACCACCAGGGGGCAGTATTGGGGCTGCGGGCCTTGGGGGCGGGGGCGCCAGTTGTCGGAGAGCTGTTTGTGAGCCTTGGCTTGAAACTGTGTAGGGTGGGGGGAGTGAAAGAAGACAGCAGCACCTACTCGGCACCCTACCCGGTCGGCCCCGCCTTCCAGGTCCCCGCCCCACCCCCGGCTCCGCCTCCACCCCGCCCCGCGTCTGACCGCGGCCCCTTCATCCTGCAGCTGGTGCTTTGGGGCCGCGGAGCTGTGCGTCGCTGTCTCTATGGCCCGGGATCCGAGCGCAAAGGTGAGAGAGGCAGGGAGTGCGGGCGGTGGAGGTGCTTGGGCTGAGGTGGGCGCGGACCGGGCCAGGCCTTGCCCACATCCATTCCACCCTCCAAGCTGGGCTAGGCCTTTCTCACCGCCAAGTGCCCCCGTCCCTCATAAAGGCTGTAGAGGGGCGCGGGCCAGGCCTCCAGCCGCGCGGGGTGCAGACCTGGGAACGTGGAGTCGGGGATCGGTGCAGGGCGGGGGCCGCTTGGCGAACAGTGTTCTCGGGATCTGGGTCACGTCTCCTGATGTCGGGCGGGATAGAAGGAGAGCTTGTCCTCGAGCTGCAGCAGTAGAGACTGAGGTTAGACCCGAGGAAAGGAGAGAATCCGGGAGGAGCTGGCGGAGGAAGGAGGCAGCGGGGGAGGGGCTCTCAGGCCAGGAGAGACCACCATCCCATCCCATTGGGCAGAGGGAGATACCACCCCCACTAAGCAGGTGGACCTCTGGATTGAAGATTGAGAGCCTGCTGATCCTACATTGATCTTGCGGGGGGGTGGGGGGTGGGGGGGTGGTGGTGAGGGGTCTCCCCTCCTCAGTTCCCTCTGCCCTAGGATCTGCCTTAGTGGGAAGGTGATCAGAGTCTAGGGGGCTGGCCCTGGGGAGCAACCCAAACTCTGGAACCAGGGGTGGAGTGTGGGGTGTGGACTGGAGACCTTGAAGCCTTGTTGCCCCTTAACCCCGCCCTCTCTCCCAACAGTTTTTAGGCCCAACTCCCATATCTAGAACTGCAGTATACTTGGGAGTAGAGGAGTGCCAAGTTACCTGTTCCATTCCATCTTTTCCTTCCTCCCTTGCAGAGCAGGCTTGACTCATGAACCCATCCCATCTGAGCCTCTGAGGTCAGAAGCCTCTGAGGTCAGAAGCCTCCCCGCATCGCGCACACACACACACACACACACACACACACACACACAGTCTGGCCTTAGAATTAGGACATTGGATAGCGAGGTGGGGTTCTGCTCTTAATCTCACCCTCCGTGGCCACTTGCAGCCTCCAAGCCTGCGGTGAGAATCGGACCCCTGTATGTACATATGCTGGTACATCTGTATGTACATTTGCATAGATGTAATTGTGTGTTTGAGGACTGTGAACATACATGCACTTGAACTTTCTGTGAACATGACAGTGCCTGAATCACTATATCAATGAGTTTGTGTGCATGTCCCTCCACATATGTATATGTGTGCAGAACCCACTGTGAATGGTGTACAATTCTTCATATGCACATATGTGGGTTTATAGCATCCTTGTCAACCTCTAAGGCTGTGTGACCTGCTGAGTGAATGGGCCTGTAATTATAACCTTACATGTGAATACATATGAATACATGTGGTAGGCCCTTTATGTGAACATATGTGTGCACAAACCTTCCTGTGAATGTGTGTGTGCATGATTCTCCTGAGTACATGTGTTCACAGCCCTCCTCTGCATATGTATATGTGTATGTACCTGTTTGCATGCACCTCACCCTCCTCTGGATACATGTGACTCTTGTGTAAACCTGTGTAAGTATGCCATGCATCACACTCTGAGTGGTTCCTCTGACCTGGGCTGTGTTCCTCCTGCCCAATCCTAAGGACTGATTCCTCCTAGCCATAGGGCTCCCCCCTCCTTTCTCACTAAGCAAATAAGAGGCCCCAAAGGTAAATAGGTGTGCCTCCACAGGGAGGAGTGGAGCATGGGCAGTTTGCCTGGGGCCTCCTGCTGCCCCAGCCCCTAAACCAGAAGTTGATGCTCTTTCTGTGGTCCAGGGACCCTCTTCTCTCTACTCATATGCCATTCCCCCCCCCTCTGGGCTCTGCCCACTACAGTGCTGACCTTTACCTCTTAAATAAACGCTCCAAATCCCTGTTCTTCCTCTGGCCAGCTCCTGGTCCCTCCCCTCTCTTCAAGGCCACATAGTTAATATTTGACCTGGAAGGGAAAGGAGAGGCCAGTGACCCTCTGGCCCTGTTTGGGAGCATCTGATGAGATTGGGTGGGTCAGGCTTCCTCCACACCTAGCCCAGCTCAGGAAGTCTTCAGAAGCCACCTCAGAGATCAGGCCTGTTACATGGCTCAGAGGAGGCCACCTACCCAATCCCATCCCCAGCTGGTTGGCTTGAAGGAGGGTCCAGGTGTGGGAATAGTCTCCAAGATATGCCAGGGGAGGTGGCCAAGAGCTCAGGGATCCCATTGTTTGCCTTTTCCATGTTGCTCATGTCTGTTAACTGGCCTTTTACACTGGAGCCTCCTGCATAGACATTACACTCATGCAGCCAGCGGGGGCAGATACCCCCAATGCCTGTGAGTGCCTGTTTGCAGGTAGGGACATGTGTAGATGCCTAGGCAGAGGGTGCAGTACAGACTCGAATGGGCAGGGCAGAGATGTGCACCCCCTCAAAGAGGAATGCTGAGGAGAAGTATCTAATTAAAGAGAAATTCCAGAGGGAGCTCTCAGGCCCGGGAAAAGAAAAAACAAAGAGAAAACAGGACAAAATAAACAAAGACCCATTAACCGGCTCTGCCCAGGCCTTCCTGCATAAGGCACCCCCGCAGGCAGCAAGGGCAGCTGCTGCCCAGCTGGGTCTCATTGTTGGGAGGAGAAGGCATTCTCCCTGAGAACCCAAGCTCCACCAAGATGGAGGTCTAGCTAAGCTTCTGACTTGGTCAGAGAAGGACTATTACCTTGGGTTTGGTTTGGGGGGAGTCAAGGGTCTTGTAAGGAGGGCAAGTTCCACCCGACTTCCTGTGTCAGAATGACTGAGTCAGCCCTGGCGTGGGAGTTCTATGGATGCTTGGCCACCTCCCTTCAGTACTCCCTGTAGTCTGGGGATAGGTGTCATCTACCCTCCACCCACACACAGATCAAAGGGCT